ACAGCCCTGGCCGAAGCTGCTGCAGGACCCCGCAGGCCACACAGCCCTGGCCGAAGCTGCTCCAGGACCCCGCAGGCCACACAGCCCTGGCCGAAGCTGCTGCATGACCCCGCAGGCCACACAGCCCTGGCTGAAGCTGCTGCAGCTGGTCAGAACAGGATTTCACAGTGGCCAGTGTGCAGCATGGAAGGGAGAGATCTCAGAGTAGAGAGGGAGGCAGGGGCAAGGTCACGTAGAAGACCCTTGAAGGCCCAGTTATGGATTTTGGACTTCATCCTAAGACTATGGTAAAACACTGAAGGTTTTCAGAGGAGCCGGGCAGGTGACACGGTAGCATTATAAATTTTAAAGGTTATGAGAAGTAAAGGGGGACAAAGATAGGAGCTGCACGACTCCTCGGGTGCCACCCTCTTTATGCTCTGTGTGGATGGGAACCCTCTGGGGTTGTGCAGTGCCCAACCTGTGCAGCTGTATACAACAGACCTGCCTCCACTAGGGGAATGGCCATGGGGATAGAGAAGAAAAATTCAAGAATCATTCTAGGAGCTGAATGGAGCAGGTGTGGCCCTTGGGGCTACCGGGCTCAGCTCTCCTCAGACACCTCTCTCCATTCTGAGGGTGGAGATGGGCACATGACCCTGTCGGAAGAAACCTTCCCAAGGACATCCTTCCAGAGCCAGCGCCCTCCTCCCGGGATGGGGGCAGCATGAGGCCCCAACACCAGGCTCCTCTTCCTGGAGAAGGAGCGGCTCAGGGAAGGGAACATTGCACAGAGGCCAGAAGGCACTGAGGGGGTCTCAGTGATCCCCTAGCCCAGGCCCCTCATGTTACATACAGGGTCACTGAGGCTCAGAGAGCGGGCACGTGAGGAGGATGGAAAGGCAGGAGGTTTGAAGTCAAGCAGATCAGAATTCACATCCTACTAGCTGTGCAATCTTGGGCAAATGGCTGGGCCTCTCTGAGCGTCAGCTTCCTCCTCAGTAAAATGAGGGCGACAGCTGTCACCCTAGGTTGCCTGAAGACTTAGCTGTTCGTTATTTGGTAAAACCTCATTTCAGTATCAGGGCTGGGTTCTGTCACTGAATGAATGAGGAAGGGCAGGGCCTGCTTGGCTCTTTAGCGTCATGGATCAGAGCAAGGACACAAAGGCCCTAGAGGCCAGTGCGCTGGCAGTGCCAGTGGCCACTGCTCATATGGGGAACCTTCAGGGGCAGGGAGGGGAGGGGGATGATGAGGCTGAGCTGGGGCCTCAGCCACCCCTGCCACCACACAGAATGTCTCTCCACCGCCACCTGCTGGCATCTGCTCAGCTTTATTAAGCAGATCTAGTGGCTCCTAGGGTCCCGTCTTGCCCACGTTGGGTGGTAGCTGCTGACTAAACCCACCATAGGCCCTCTGGACCATGCGGTCCTTTCTTGCTGGCACTCAGTTTGGCTGCCAATTGTTTTCCAACGGGGCTTGGGTCGTATAACTTCGTATAATGTATGCTATACGAAGTTATTACGCCAAGACGAGGTCAGCAGAGGCGCTGGCTGCCACGTAACCGCCGGCACGCAGAGCATCTGCTTTCCTCTGTGCTTGTCCACCAAGCTGGCTGCGGGATGCTGACAGCTGAAATGCACGTGGTGCTCCTCGGGGCTGACACACTCTGTTTGCAGCTCTTTATGTGCACGGACACATTTAATCCGGGGAGATGGGCACTGCTCACATCTGCACTTTGCAGAAGAGGAAACTGATACAAGATCTGCCCAGGGTTGTCGCAGAACTTGTGTGCAGTGAAACCAGGATTCCAACCAAGGCAGGCTGGCTCCAAACTCAGCACCCTTATCGGCCACGCTCTGAGGGCACCCCTTTCCCTCCTCCTCAAGGCCTTTGGTGGCCTGACTGAGGAATGAGTGACTTGGTTCACTTGAACTCCACGACAGCTCTCCCAGCCTGCCTCTGTGCTGTCATCATCAAAAACCTCACTGTCCATTTTATTCTGTGATTTCTGTCCTGAGGTCTGATGCTCTGTTTGTGCCTTTCCCAGATCCAGACCTTTCCAGGCAGCTCCTCAAGACCCCCCCCCCCATATCCATCTACAGCCCCACCCTCCTGCCCCTCCCCACTTTCTGGATTGGACTTCAGAATTCCAGCAACTCTTCTCATTGGCTGTGGAGCAGACCTCTGTAAGAAGCCAGCCAATCAGAAGCCTTCTTCTGGGTCACCCCCCCTCCTCCCAGCACCAGGTTAGTTCCCTCCAGAGCAAGCATTTCTGAGCATGAGGGTAGGGGTGGGAATGGGGGTGAAAGGCCCGAGCAGGGAGAGAGACCCTGAGCCCAGTGGAGCCAGGCACGAGGAGAAAACAGCAGGAGGCCCGAGAGGAGGGTGCCGGAGCCCGCCAGCCACCGCGCCTTGGCCGGGTCCTGTGGTGCACACGGCACCCCAGCCCTCAGGTGACCTTTGCACAGGGCCTGGGAGCTGGGGGAGCAGACAGCCTGGGGGTGCTGAGCTGACAGCAGGGGAGTGCCTTTCCCCACACAGAAGGGGCTGCCAGGGCCTTCTTCACCTGGTTTGGGGTAGCCAGGTTTCCAGCCAGGAGCCTCAACCCTTCCTGTCTGACAGGTCCTACCCTGTGTCTACCACAGATGTCCCTTTATTACTAAAGACCCCGTTCTGGGCAGTGTCCGCAACCCCGCCACATCCCCACCAGTAACCCCTGCTCCTACCGATTCTCCTCACAGTCCCTCATTCCAGAAGGGACCCACCCCTCCCCCCACCCCAGCAGCCCCCTCACCTGCCAGGTGCCCCCCAGCCTGCGGGCACAGGAGTATATTCCGTGCTGCATGAGATGTCCCAGTCGGTTGAGCACCACGAGGTTGAGCGGGATCCCCACAAGAGCAAAGAAGATGCAGAAGAGGCGGGCAGCCATGGTGTGGGGTCTCAGATTGCCATAGCCTGAGGGAGAAGGGGACACCTCAGGGGACCTTTCCAGCCCAGCCCTGCCCACTCGCCACCACAGCCCCACTCCCCGGCCCACCCTCAGGGCCTTATTCCAACCCACTCCTGATGTGGGCAGCTGGTACTTATTAGGGCCTTCCTTCCTTGTGCCGGGCACTGTGCAGGGAGCCCTATACATTCATTCCCTCAATTCATCCTCGCAGGCACCCTTCCAAACCACGACTGTGCCCCACAGTTTACGCATCAGAGAACAGAAGTTCTAGAG